ATTAGTTTGTTTTTCTCATTATTGTCATTGTTCATTCTTTTACTAACTTCTTTTTTCATAGGTTCATGTTTTATCCTACATTTTTATATTATAGATACAAAGAAATAGCAATTATTTATAAATTTCAACCTATAAAGATGAACTAATAAATCTATTTCAATTTGAAGATTCCTTAATTCAAGTTCTAAATATTCAATTAATTCAAGATTCAGTTATTGAAAATAAAGATGACTATATTATTAAAAGTAATAATGAAAAACAGAATATGTATGAAGCTAATTTGGTTCATTTATTTGAAATTTTAAACAAGATAATTTATATTTTTATATCTAAAATTTATATTAATATATAAGCCCCCTCAAAAATATATTGCAACACTAGGTTTAGGTTAGGTTTAGGTGAAACGAAATATCACATGAATATGATATATCATATCTGTGATATTTAGTTTAACTTAAATCTAATCTAAATCTAATTTAAACCTAGCCTAAACCTAATATAAACCTAACCTAAACCTAATCTAAACCTAATAAATTTAAGTTAAATTTAGGTTAGGTTTAGGTTAAGTTAGATTTAAGTTAGGTTTATATTAGGTTTAAGTTAAACTAGGTGAGGTTAACACGCAGGTCAACTTATGAGTTAACCTATAGGTTTACTTATAGGTCAACTTATATGAGTTAACCTATAAGTCAACCCATGAGTCAACCAGTGGGTTAACCTGCAGGTCAACTCATAAGTTAATTTGTGGGTCAACTTATAAGTCAACTCATGGGTTAACTTATGAGTTAACTCACAGGTTGACCTATAGGTTAACCCACAGGTCAACTCATGAGTCAACTCACAGGTCAATCTATTAGTCAACTCATAGATCAACTCCAGTGTTCGAAATCAGTATACACAGAGTTCTCAAAAAAGCATTAATATTAATTTGTAAACAGTATAAATTTTTTACTGTTTACTAACTAGTGTTTGTACTTGGGTTACCCATAGTAATCAGATATCCATGTAGTAATTATGGCTACTCAGGTAGATTTAACCAGGTAATACCCAAGTAGATATAACCAGATAATATCTAGGGGTAATTACTAAATTACGACAAAATGCTATAAATATATTTTGCGTTCATACGTATAATGTGTATAGTTAATTCTAGCGATCTGACTGGTTAATAGAATTCATCTGAAGTGATCAGCAGAGAGGGTTTTCATTAGAACCAGACAAGGACTTTAGTGCAACAATTTCAAGTTCACACACTCTTCTATTACCATTAATTTTTCATATGCCATCCAACTAGTATGCTAAAAATACAGAACCAAATTCTTCTTTACCAATATTTTTAATCTTATCTAGTTTATCAAAAGGAATCCATTCAATTACTTCCTCATACGAAGTAGCTCTAAGTTGAAAGTCTTTCATAAAGTTATCAATTATCAATTTCAATACCAATTCCTGAATAATAACAATAGCCAACTTGATAAATTCAGTTAGAATTATTCATATCAGCAGATTTTTTATAATGAATAAATACTTGATTTTCATCTTTTTTAACTCCAATTCCATATTCGTAACAATAACTAAGCCAGAATATTCCGTCTAGATTATTCATATCTGCAGATTTTTGACAATCAATAAAATTCAGTTGATTAAGAATGC